TGACTTACCAATCCCGTAAAATGCACTTGTATAATTATTCCCGCTAAATGCATGAAGAGCAAGATGAGCTTTACAACAATCAGTACCTAACTGTGAGGCAATAAGGTTTATCTCAAGAGTCCGTCTTTCAGTAGAGACGCCAATATCCACAAATAATTCTATTTGAAGTTGGTTTTGAAAGTACAAAGCGTAAATAGCAATATCTGTTTCAACCGTGTGAATGCAAACGGTTTCGAAACCAATAGATTCATTATATTTAGGCAGTTTAAAGTATGTTTTTTTCAAAGACAAAACCTCGCTGCGAATCTTTTGTGCGACATGATGGATAAGCTGTTCAATCAGTTTTGGATTATTTTCCCCTACTCAATGGCATTGTTGCATAAGAAAGAATATCCTATTTTGGTGACCGCAACTGAACAGACCCGCAAGTTCTGCTTATTTTAACAGAAGATGCAATTATGCGTTCCTGGACTGGTTGCAAGAACTGAACAGACCCGCAACTACAGCATCCTGAAAAGTCCTTTTATCTAGAATCTTTGCTCTACCTGTGCAGTTTTCCTTCTAAAATTCAAATAGCTTACTTGTATGAGTAATCTCTAAATTGTCTAATACGTGTTCTGTCACATAGTCGAAGAGAAAACGGATAATTGCATCTTCTGTTAAAATAAAAGGAACTTTTTGGGGTCTTGTATAGTTAAGGTAACAAGTCCGATGATAATTTAACTCTAAGGAAACTATGGTTTGACCAATATACTAGCTGGGTTTTCAGCTTTACTATAGCGTTTTCTTTTAACATGTTTGCTGCACTTTCTGTTACAAATTTTGCCTAGTAGACACGGACGCAAAAAAGACGTTATTAAACGTTTTATACTCGTTTTCGACCTCTTTTGAACGTCTTTTGAACGTTTTGGACGTCTTTTGAACGTTAAAAAGACGTCTTTTTTAGGTCCGGTGCCCATTGGATGTAAGTGTTTTATATCCGTTCCTATATTTATTAGTCTTTTTGCAATAGCAAATGCAACACTTTTCATCCGCAATAATTTTTCATGAAACAAAGGAATAATTTTAATTTTGAAGTAGTACATAAAACATAAAAAAACCTTTAAAACTGAGGGCAATATTCTTTGCTTTGCATTTCACACTAAAAGGTTTTTTAATTTACCTGATCTATCTCTTTTCCGAGCTGAGATTCTACGCTTAAATGAGGATGCATTATCCACGCCTACACTCTCGTTGACATTTTCTGCTCTATTTTTCCGATGTTGCAAAATGTTTAATGTTTTTATATTCACATACTTATGGTAACATCTTTGATGAAATAAGAAAGTTGTTGGGCACATTTCAGCAGGTCCGTATCCAGCATTATTTGGTCTTCGAGATTTTTGACCATATAAAGTTTAAACCCCACTCAATTTGAGGGGGTTGCAAATTTTATATTGTTATAATTATTGAACACTGAAATATGAAGACTTGTGGTCCCTGCGGACACTGTCACTGCGTGGTTGCTTTCGCAAGCGCATTTTCAGTAAAACCACGCTGTTTGTTATTATTACGACCAACTTCACCATGATGAAGTATACAAGCATTTTTAATTTCTTTTTCAGGAACCAGATTAAAATGCTGCTACTCGCCATTATTTAGTTTAATAATAATAAATAAATAAAAATAAAACACGTTTTTTTAGTTTTATATTTTATATTTTTGCATTAACCGTTTCTTTTAAAATGATTGCAGTTTGTTATGCAAATATTATAAAAATGACTTTGATTTTTTTCTTTTATTTATGACGGTAATTCTTTACTTTTAAAAAGAACTTCGATGAAATAAAAAAAAGTAAACAGTTTTTGAAAAGTAAACATTTTTCAATGTAAACAAAGAACGGGAACATTTTTTTATCTCTTAGATTTATTAAATTAAAATTATTTTATATTTTTAATACAATATTAAAATAAAAATTAAAAAATTTTTTTTTTTTAGATAAGGTTTATGAAGTTTTGGTTACATAGATTTGAGTAATTATATTTAAAACATCTAATTTTACAAACAATTAACCCCCTATCAATAATTTGTTAAAACTAAATTAATGCTTTGCGGTATTGGATTTATAAACAACATGGCGGATATATCATGCTTCAAATCTTTTCAATAAGCTGCATCAATTTTTGTCTCTAACTTAAGTTATAAGCACTTTTCAAGTGGCACGTAAAAATTTTTAAACTTCTTAAGTTATAAGGAACAAGTCTATGTAAAAATCAGAATGTCCACTCAAAATGTTTAGTTTTCCTATTTTTTTTACATGTAGCGACCAGACTATAATAGATTGCGAATTTCTTCATTTTTGAGAACCAAGTTTTGGATGAAAGTTTAAGTCTGATTCTTTTTTGTTATATTATAGATATATACTGTTATACTATAGATATATCCACAGAGCATCGATATGCATAATTTATTGGCGCTATAAAAGCAGCGATAGTCTATAAATAACAAAATAACTTACAAAACAACTTAACAAAAAAATAACCTAATGTATTAAGTTTCGGTATATAATATCAAAAAGTATTAAAAACTGCTGTTTTAGAAATTATTGAAATTTTGAGAAAAAATTATTAAATATATTCGTTCACATTTAGGACCGTCCCAAAGAGATTTTAAAGGAAGGGGGGATGTGTCTGTTTTTTACCGACAAAAGCCAAAAAAAATTTTTTTGATCGCTAACTTATCTAAAAAAAAAAAGAATAATAAAAAAAAAAGTCCTCGTTTTCCGATATTTGCCAACTGCGAACTATAGATCTAATTTGCCGAACATAGGGGGCTAGACATCCCCTACGCCCCCCCTTCCTCGGGACGGCACTATTCACATATAGAAGGCATAAACACTTTATAAAGCATACTTTTTTTTTGTTCTTTTTTTTCCTAAATCAATAAATCTTTTTACTTTAAGTATTGTATTTCCTCATGTATGTTGACAGACTTTACAGATCAATAATTATACTGATGAACTTTGATATCGTATTTAATCATATCACTTTGACATTTTTTTAAAATCAAACTTAGGAATGATGAACTAATATTTGGTTTGTTGACACCTTTTTTTAGGGTAATTTAAGTCAAACTTTCATTTATTATTCAAAATTTCATGTATTATTCTCCACTTTTTGAAAAATGTTAGCTACTGATTGTGTGATGTACCTCAGAATAATGTTTTTTTTTTCTTTTTATGCGGATAAGTATTTAACTAGAAAGTTTACGGCTCCTCCTCCTTTGCTAATTTGCTTATTTAGCCAGAGACGGCATCGAACCACAAACTTCTTGGTTTTGAACCAAAACTCTACAAATCTACAGTATTGAAACTTAAGTTAGTAAGTAAGCAAGTTGCAGCGAAAACGTGAGAAAATGTTTTTTATGCTGTCTAAAGTTTTTATTTCTTAAAATCTTTTAATCTCATGTGGAGATAGAACAAGATTATTCTAAGCTCGAGAAGAGTAAACAATAGTAGCAACTTAAACCAACCGCATTTACCTGACGTCAATATTTCCGTAAATTTGATACACTATTTACAATCTATAAATAAATATAACATGACTGTTATTTTTAAGCACATCTTTCTTTTTCTATATCGTAAAACTTTTATTTCTCGCCATTTTACTTGTTCTTTAAATCAATAATAAATGGGCTTATGTCAAATTGCCTTAAACGCGAGCGTGTGAATTTCTACCTCACGTTTGGGATTAACCATCATACTCAACCAAAAGCTTCTAAACTAATTCTTTGCTATTTATTTTTCAATTAATTATTTTTATTTCTAGTAAAGAAACGATATTTATTCTATTTAATGCGAAAAAAATAGTTTTTTAAAATGATTTCTAGAAGTAATTTAAGTTTTTTGTAAAAAGTTTGACTTTGAGTCATTATTTAGTTCCCTAGCCGCGCCTAGGTAGTGTATACTTCCAACCAAAACATAAATTAAATCTTAGCTTTGTGTACGTCATTTTCAAAAAATTATGGATTTGCCTAAAAAACGGCTAGAGAACTAAATAATGACTCAAAGTCAAACTTTTTACAAAAAACTTAAATTACTTCTAGAAATCATTAAAAAAATTTTAAATCAGTTAAAATACTTAACTGATTTTAAACTTTTGCAAGAGACTGTCTATAGTTCTATAAATTGTTGACTATAGTTCTATAAATTGTTGACATATAACACTAATAACTAATAACATAAATACTTCAAGCACCATCAGCCATTTTTGTGTGCGGGCGCGATACTATTTTTTCCATTCAGATAAAATCTTTCAGATATTTGAAATATATAAATTTCTAATACTATTTAATAGTAAATTATTAAATACTTTTCTTGTCTTTCGCTTACGCTATTTTAATTAAAATAAAAGTTGTTTGCCTCACACGCAAATGCATTCACGTCTAAATTACTAAAAAGCATTACTTAAAATAGTTTGACTTTTAAATAAATACTTAGCGTTTAAGGAATATTAATTTTAGATAACATTGTTCTATTTTAAAATATTAAAATACAACATGCCAACACACATATTTAGTCGGTTATGTCAAATTTATATTCAACTGGATACGAGCCAGAATCATGAATGAATTGAAGAAAAAATTAATTATGTAGTATCTTTGCGATTCAACTCAAAAATCCTCTCCAAGAATGAAATACAGTGTCAGTTGTATATAGTACTTTAAAGTTGTTTATTCAACACAGTACTTGGTAAAATGTAACAACAAAGTTTCATTGGTTTTTATTTGTTTTTTGCAAATGACAGTCGGTATTGTATGTTTGAAAACTCTTTATAGTTTACTATTTCAATGTTTTTATTTTAGTTTGTAATTTCTTTTTATGTTCTCTAAATATTCAAAATACAAATAATACTTTTACATATGCTTTCTAAATATAAATTACAAATAATGTTTCAACAAATAAAAGAATTTCCTTTTTTTTTAAATTCAAGCATGATAAAAAAAATTTAAAATTTTTAAAAATGATAATAAAAATTACTTTACTTCTTTGGGTTCAAGCTGTATTGATTGATGCTCTTCAACTGCCAACTTTTCTTTGGGATCCTAGAAATAAAATGTAGGTATATATTTTTATTCTGATTATGCAATTTTTTTTTTTTAATTTTTGAAAATGAAGGTTTTAATTTAGTATTTCTATAAGATTTAATTAATTGTTAATTTCACTTTATAGTATATATGCAAAGCTAGAAACAGTCAAAAACAGTTATAAACTGAAAAGAATGTTATAATATTTTCAATCCTGGATTTACTGGATAGGCCACTGCCTAGAGCCCCACAATTTTGATGGCCCAAAATTGGTTTAAATAATGTTTTATTTTTCTAGGGTTTCTAGAATCTTATTTTAAAAAATATTATTTTTATAACCTTTTTTTAAAATAAAAAATATATATATTTTTTTTTATTTTTTAAATTAAGAAAAATTTCATTAAATTTTACTTGATTTTCAAATTAAATTGTTAAGCAATATTTAAGGTAAATAAATAAATTTTTAAAGTCTTCACTTTAAGAATAATCTTACTCTTAATTTAAACTCATTGAGCTTTAAACTCATTGAGCCAGATCAATCAGTTTATGAAAATGTTATACAAGATTCTATTTATCCAGAAGTTTCTGAATCATTCGTTAAACGTTGTGACTTGGATAACAACATAAATAATGATATTGGCTTATGAGAGACTCTTTCCAAGGACAGTATTTCATTTTGAATTTCACAAGAACCAAAATGTATTCAGCAAATGTACAGATATTCAAGAATCAGAACAGATGTACAACATTTACAATTGCTTTTATTCAAAGTTATTTCACACATGCCAAAAAGTAAATGGTGAAATTTACAACCATTAGTGCTTAATTTCTTTGCAAGATAATGGAAAAATGTTCTGTTTTATATATCAAATTCTGAAGATTTTTTTGTCACAACATATAGGACAGAAATCATGAAAAAGAAGCTAAAAAAGAACAATAATATCGGAGAATAGTTTTTAAAGTTTATCCTATAAATATAACTTAAGTTATATTTATAGGATAAACTCTGTTAGTGTTTATTCTTTTGTACATATTATGTTCAAACTAAAACTCATTAATTGATATTTATACACCTACCTTCAGTTCTCCTTGTTTTACTTCAGTTCTTCTTATATTTTTAAGGCATATTAAATTAACCTTTACAATTGCAGTACTTTTAATAGTAGTTTATAAACTATGAGATAGTATTAGATCTGGTTTATGCATAATGTATTATTAAAAATTAGTAAATAATCTTAATATAGATTGAATATATTTATTTAATTGTTAACTTGTTTTCAAATAATTTACAATCATAGTTATGTAGTATTATAATAATGTATAAATATTGCAGTTTTGCTGGTGATCTATGTGAAGGAAAATATGCAAAAATCTCAGTGAATTATGAAGCTACAATTTATTTTACTTGTCCACATGAAGCACTTTGTAGTGATGTTATTGAAGGGGACTCAAACAATGCGAAATCTATGTACGAGAATATGTATATTGTTTCTAAAGAAGAATTTGAAAACTGTGACGTAAAGGAAAACCGACAACCGGTATTATTGTGTGACAGTCCTGAAGATACTTCAGTGATTAAATTCACAAGTTTCTATATCTTTGATGTTAAATCAAGTCTTCGAATTCCATTTAAAGATAATACAACCTATTATTTTGTTGGTAATATTAATTTTTTTTTTTTTTTTATTTATACTATGTTAAATATTTAAAATAAGATAAAAAATGCTAATATAAGTACTAATTTCTCAGATAACTAATTTATGTTGGAATAATTTATATTGTGAACTTTAGCTTTACTTTGTGTTCATCTTTATATCAATGTACTGTATCATACAGTAATGTTGTTAAAAAGGATTTAGGCAACAAGATTAAAAATGTGGATAATTAAAGCCAAGTTTTGTATATATTTTTTTCAAACATATATATGAATAGTTTGTTGATAGTTTAATCTAAATCCTTTGGAATAAAATAGAAAATCTACTGAGCAAAGAAAACTAGATAATAAAATATATAGACTTTGATTTTGATTTAGATTTCAATTTTTTTTTTTTCAAAAATCCTTTGAAAATAGTTGCTTAAATATTTGTTCTTTCATATCGAACTAGTTAAACATGCATAATGCATACTGGCCGAAGAACAATAATAATGGCTGAAAATAAGTTTTTTATAGTCTAAATGATAATATTAACAGAGGTGGTTAGTAGTGGGTAATGTGTAATGTACTATTTATGTATATATGTGTATGTATGTATTTATAGTTTGACATCTAATTTTATTGTTTATGGTAAAAAAAAAAAGGTTCTTAAAGGCTCTTTATGTTTAAATAAGACAAAATCAAGTATGCTTTTTGTAAAAACCATTAAATTTAATAGAGGAAACTCTATTAAATTTTCTAGGAAAATTTTATCGTTTTTCAAAAAATCACAAAAGTGCAAGTTAATAGATTTGAATGTTTTTACATATTTTTACATTTATAAACATTCAGAATGTTTTTATTTTTAAAAAATAAATAAAAACATTCTAAATTTTTTTAATTTTTATTTCTTTATTGTTTACCTACATTAACTGATAAATAGGTAGAACATTCGAGGAGTGCTGCTAGATTGACTGACAAATAGGTAAATATGCAAGAAGTGCTGCTATATAGACTGACAAATAGAATACAAATAGTAAACATGTGTGGAGTGTTGTCACATCAACTGAAAAATAGGTAGAACATGCCAAGAGTGCTGCTAAATTTACTGAGGGTTTTGGTTTGGCAGGCAATCTATCAATTAAAAAAAAAACTTTTTTAAAAAAATCTGTCAATTAAAAAAAAGTTTTTAAACCTCTTCTGGTCTTCTAAATTTTTTCCTTAAACAACATAAAGTTTACATTTTATGGTAAAAATTAAATTCAAATAAGCAAGAGTATATATATATATATATATATATATATATATATATATATATATTTATATATATATATATATATATATATATATATATATATATATATATATATATATATATATATATATATATACACACACACACACTTACTAAAGCGTATTTTTATAAGCATTTGCTCACTTTTTTTGCTTACCTTAACCCATACAGCTTTTTTAGAAAAAGAAGAAAAAAAAATGAAGAATGATGAATAAAACGATTGCTTCCCCATCCCAAACCCTCAGTCAATGTAGCAGCACTCCACTGCGAGTCAGGCTATTTGTCAGTCAATGTATGTACTGAAGCCCCCGGCAGCAGGCTATTTCAGTATGACGTCAGATTGCTTACCTTAGTACGCAATACTATTTGTATATATATATATATATATATATATATATATATATATATATATATATATATATATATATATATATATATATATATATATACACACACTTATGTATGTATACAAATATATAGATCCCTTATAGGTCAGACATAAAAAGAAATTAAAAAATGAGACCAGAAATTTTTCTTTAATTAAAAGATTGGCTGCCTAGCCAAATCCTTAGTTGATCTAACAGCACTCTTCGCATATTCTACCTATTTGTCAGTCAATGTAGCAGCGCTCCTTACATGTTTTACCTGTTTGTAAGTGGTTTTATGTACACTAAAATAAAAAATAAAATAAAACAAGTAAAATTAAAAAATAAAAACAATATTAAATATTTAAAAAAATAAAAACTATTCATTGAAAGTTCGGGTTTTTACTGTAATTTAGAAAACAATTATTTTGCAATTAAATTAATGGTTTTAAATTTTAGATAACACAGAAGGGTTGCATGAAGTTCAAAAGTAATTAAAAGTGATACAATTTGTTGTCATAAGAATCATTTTTTACATTTCGTACTCTCAAAGTCAACAATTTATAGAACTATTGACAGTCTCTTGCAAAAGTTTAAAATCAGTTAAGTATTTTTTAGGTAAATCCATAATTTATTGAAAATCACATACACAAATGACATTCACAAAATTTAATATATGTTATATACATACACATGTATATAACATAAATTAAATCTTAGTTTTGTGTATATCATTTTCAATAAATTATGGATTTACCTAAAAAATACTAAATTGATTACAAACTTTTATATATATATATATATATATATATATATATATATATATATATATATATATATATATATATATATATATATATATATATATATATATATATATATATATATATATATATATATATATATATATATAGAAAATCACTTAACAATTTTTTTTTTTCATTTTACACTGTGTTTCATCAACAAAGACTCATCTTTGTTGATGAAACACAGTGTAAAATGAAAAAAAATTTTGTTAAGTGATTTTCTACTAATTTATAATTGCTCTGTTCTTTTAAGAACATTGAGCACTCTTTTTTTGTAGAATACATTTTTAAAATTGTTGAAATATATATATATATATATATATATATATATTTCATCTTTTATTAGTCTTAAAATTGTTAACTACCTTGATTTAATATATATATATATATATATTTCATATATATATATATTAATATATATATATATATTACCTTGATTTTATATATATATATATATATATATATATCATCTTTTATTAGTCTTAAAATTGTTAACTACCTTGATTTAACTTTTAATCTTACTCAAAATTCATTCCAACCATACTGCAAGCCTGATAAAATAAGCTAAGTTATGTACATGCTGATTCTAACCATCCACCTAACATAATAAACAATCTTCCAAAAAATATCGAGCTAAGATTGTCCGCTAACTCATCAAGTGAAGTTATTTTTAATAAGTCGACACATCTTTATGAAGACGCACTAAAGCCATCGGGATATGGTTATAAGTTGGCATATAAACCAAGCATAACAAATGTTCCAAAAAATCACCACAAATGAAGTATAATCTGGTACAACCCTCCATTTAGTAAAAATGTTACAAACAAAATTGGTCAACGCTTTTTAACCCTAATTGACAAGCATTTTCCTAAAGACCACAACCTACACAAAATATTTAACAGAAACACTATTAAAATAAGCTACTCCTGCATGCCAAACATTAAATCTATCATCAACTCACACAACAAAAATATTTTATATGGTGATTTAAAGTTATAAGAAAAAACCTGCAATTGCATTAAAAAATCTCTTTGTCCTTTGTCAATTGCTTGCCTAACAACATTGTTTACCAAGCCACCGTAAGCTCAAATAAACCTCAATACAAAGATAAGGTGTACATTGGGATAAGCCAAACCTCTTTTAAACTACGTTATGCAAAACATCTAAAATCCTTCAACATAAAAAAGTACAAGAACGACACTGAGTTATCTAAGGAAGTATGGGATTTAAAAGATAACAATTTTACATCTTCAATCAAATGGAATATAATTAAACGCTGTAAATCATACAATCCTGCGTCAAAAATTTGTAAGTTTTGTTTAAATGAGAAATTTGAAATATTATTTTACAAAGGAGATAATCTGCTAAATAAAAGAGGCGAAGTAGTTTCGAAATGTAGACATAAAAATAAATTTCTTCTTTCATTATTTGATAGCGGAGATTAGTTTTCCATTACGTCTTCTTGTACTAAGACGTCAGAACTCATTCTACTGTAGTTTGTAATTTTTAAACGGTTTTTATATTTTTGATTTTGTACTTCATGGCTGATGATTGCCGATAGGCATGAAACTTTAAGTTCCATTAAAAGTTGTTTTTTCTATATATATATATATATATATATATATATATATATATATATATATATATATATATATATATATATATATATACATATATTATTTTTAAAATTTTTATAAAATTTTACTTCTTTTGAGACCTAACATGATATACTATTAAATTTTTTTAATTTAGTGTTAATTTATTACATAGAACACATGTAGGGGGTGGCAGCAGACAATTTCAAAAAAAGTTGTTTTTAGAAGCACTTTAATATATATATATATATATATATATATATATATATATATATATATATATATATATATATATATATATATATATATATATATATATATATATATGTATATATATATATATATGTATGTATATATATATATATATATGTATATATATGTATATATATATATGTATATATATATATATATATATATATATATATATATATATATATATATATATATATATATATATAACTAAATTTAACTAATGAATCAATATGAATTAATGAGTTGTGGTTATGAGTTATTGAAGTACAATATAATTTAAAAAAATTTTTTTTTAGCAACATCAGATGGTAAAAAAAAAGGGATAACCAATTTAAAAGGTGGTAGGTGCAAAGAAAACAACATGAGACTAGCCATGTATGTACGAGGTATGTATCCATAGGTTTATGTACAAAATATATATGTTTAAAATGTTTATTTAAATGTTGCATTTGTTTAAATAAAACATTTTTTAGCTTAAGTTTTTTTCAATTTAAGATTTGCTATTGCATATTAAGATAGTAAAGTTGTATGCTTAAAAAACAGAACTTTTCTGATAAACATTTTTAACTCCATGCTAAATTTTTAACTCCATGCTATAACCTTTTTTAGCTTTGCAATATTTCAACAAGCAAAGCAAGAATCCAATGGACTTTTTTGAGCTAATTGTTACAAATAAGCTTATAAAAAATATGGTATAAGAAATTAATTGCATTACAACCCAAGTCAGCTAATAGCGTCTGCCCAGAAGAAGATATTTTTGGAAAACAATAAATATATGATAGTTTCTTAAAATTTACCTTTATATATTGGTATGTCAAATTGTCTTTCTTTATATGGATGTGTCAAATTGTCTTCGTTTGGTGTCTTCGTTTGGTGTCTTTGTTTGGTGTCTTTGTTTGGTGTCTTCGTTTGGTGTCTTCGTTTGGTGTCTTCGTTTGGTGTCTTTGAGCACTACTAGTTCTACTACTGATCCTGGTGGAGATTCAGGTGGTGGAGATTCAGGTGGTGGATGCTTGCATGATATTACAGAATTTCTTAACCTGAGTACTACAATTGACAATATTGGACAACTCGTGTTTAGGCAATATAAATAAAAAAGGCATAAGTATTTTGTTGAATTGTATTAACTTTGCAATTCAAATGTTGTAATTAAGGTAAAAATCTATTCTGGTGTGGCAACTCCCGATAAACACTTCTTGGGTCACATAGGAACTATTGTTTTTAAGTTAATGAAGAACTTTTTTTGGAATCCTGTCAAGAGACGAATTAAGTGATTGTAAGTTGTGATAGGCCATTTAGTGATCTTGAAAATATATTATTTGAAGCATTCGTGATTGCTAATTTTTAAATTTTTTATTCCTAGGTTTTTATGAAAAAAAGTATCATCAATAAATAAAAACCGAAACTTGATTAGAGATCACAAACAAATCATATCAGGAATTGATTAGGCTAACAAAATGGTATTGTATTATGACTGCTTAGGAGAGTCAACTAGATGGTATTAAAAAGTTGTTCTTCATCTTTTTGATTTTTTTGTATTTAAAGTATACTGCCTTAATTGCAAATATGGCATAGATAAAACAATCCCCTTGCTCAGTTTTGAGAAATTGTTGTTACTGATTTATTGAGTGAATGAATACTTAAATCAAGTTATCTCTTGAATCAATAAAAATAACCTCAATTACTTGTCTGCAATACCACCAAATGATAAGATAAAATTGCCCACGAAACCATGTCCAGTTTTCTCTAAAAAAAGTGTGAGAAACCATGCTATGAAGCATTGTTTTCAGCAGTAAGCCTTCATTTTGTGTTGGCAAATGTTTTAAAAAATATCATGTAAAAGCATAGCTTTGTAAAATATATTTTAAAGAAAGCAATACTTTTATCTTTTTTAAGTTTCTTTTATATCTTTATTTGCATTTAAATTGGAGGTTTTAGAAGTAACTAAGTTACTTTATTTATATAATCTACTCTGGATTTAAAGCAAAAGAAAATATCTGACATAACCAAACAAGTTTAAATAAGAAAAGTATATAATTTAACAAAAACAATTTTTAATAAAGAAAGTATTTGACTTAATATAGCCAAACAAGTTTAAATAAATGTAGAAAGGTTTATACAATTGACAGCAAGCCTCTGCTTACTATATTACTTGTGTTAAATTACAGTGGTGTTACTTGGCAGCAAACAGCTAAAAATATTACAGAATTTTGTATGTATAATATAATTATGCATATTTTGTATGTATAATATAATTATGCACAAAATTTTACACTGTATATATATATATATATATATATATATATATATATATATATATATATATATATATATATATATATATATATATATTTTCTTAATATTAAAAATAAGCTAAAAAAAGTTTTAAAATTAAAACAAAAATTTAATTAAATTGAATAATTAATAAAATAAACAAATGTTTTTTAATATCTTTAAATTAGTCTTAAATTTCAAAGTCAAATCTCATAGGATAAAAATAAAAATAACAATTTTTGAAATAAAAGATTTACATAGAAGTAAAAAAAAAATTCTTTATGGGTGGCAAATTTTATATCAGCAGTCTTGTTACAGAACACTACAGAAGAACATTTATTAAGGAATTTTACACCGCTTTAATGTTGTGAACATGGTCAGAATAGAAATCAAATCTTGGACCTCTTGAAGTTTTAACCGCTGAAAGCATCATATGTTTTTATCTGCATATATGTCTAACAGATCAAGTTGATTAGTAAAATTTTGACATATCAAGTCAACACTGCAGTCTGATACAGCTTTAATTGATCAAACAGCATTTTTAAGCTAGTCCCTTCTTTAACCCATTCATTTGAAATAAGTTTCCAATTGGAAGAAACTTTCTAAATAAATTAAAAGAAAATTACATGCTTAAACTACTTTATTTATTTTAATTTGATTTTAATTTGAACCATCAGGGTGGCAGCAACCTGGAAATTTTGAAAAGTCCGGGAAATTCTAAATTATGTTAAAATGTTAGGGAATATATTAAATTTTGCAAATACCATGAAAAAGTCAGGGAACTCTAATGGATTCAGTAACAATATACATATATATTTTTTGCTTATTTGAGATCAATTTATTTTTTTATTTCATCAAAAATCAATTTATTTTTTTATTTCATAGTTAATTTTATTTTATTTTGTTTAAAAATATTTATTTAAAGTAAACAGTTTTTAAGAAAACTTTTATTATATGGGTAAAGTTGTGTGAGTTTTATTTGTTGTCTTTTTATTGCTACATTTTTAAACTTACACTGGTAATTCAGTAAAATTTAATTTTAGTCAAGGAAAATGCATGGCCTTCTAGAAATACAGACCTTGACATCGCAATAAAATATTTTTTGACTGGAGGCCGATTCTATATAAACAGCGATTGGTCTAAACACAAGTTTTAAGCGACTTTGAGCGTTAATTATTCAGCAACGAGAAAAATTAGCAGTAAAGAGGTTAAAGATAAAGATCTTTTTGTAAATTGCGACACATTTATCAAAAAAAGAGTTATCAATTATGCCTCCAAAATGTTGTGTTCCATGCTGTAGTAGTGGTTATGCTTCATCAACTATAAAGGTGTCCGCTTATTGATTTCCTTGTGATGAATGCGATAAAGGAAAGTGGATAAAGCTATCCCAAGAAAAAATCTGATTGTAAATAAATACACTGGTGTGCCGACTTAATTGGCCTATAGATTGCAGATCTTTTACATTTTATCGTGGAAAAGAACATCCTACAGAACCACCAACTGTCTTTTCTAACATACCAGCTAGCTGTCTTAGTTTACTTATTTCTAAACCCAGAACACCAAAATTGTCATCGTCCAGTATAAGAAATACAAAATTAGATGAACTAGATAGCTTTAGGGAACATGATTTTTTTCGATTTGATAGCATAAAAGAAAGACTCTTGCGTAGTAATGATTTTATTGTATACAACATAAATGACAATAATGATGTTGTTTACATTCAGTCAAAAGAATTTGTATGTGGTATTCCAAAGTTTTTAGTTATTAATATTAATAGGGATTTAACATTAACTTTGTTTCATCTTAGGTCATCTTTCAGTATTCTCATTTTAATATCAAGTAAGATATCATGTTGTAAGTATTGGTCAGTTTTTGATGAAATCATACGTTACTTAAAAAATAAAGATATTTGTCATAAATAAAATGTATTACTTAAACATATGGACTGTATAAAAGTTGGTGAATTTACTTACTCTTCTGATATAATCACTCGAGCTCACTTGAATATTTTGCTATATCCAGGTCTCGGTACAGCTAAATTTCTAATGACTATAAATTACCCAATATTAGAACTTTGACAAGAATCACTTCAAAAGTCGGATTACAAGATAGTCTGGAATTTTTGAAAAATGTTATGATGAGTATTGAAAATACACAACGTAAATGTATATTGCTGATTGATGAAGTTTATATTAAATCCACATTAACTTATCATGGAGGTGTATTATTTGGAAATTCTGCCGATCAACCTGGTTGTTGGCTTTTATGGTAAAATGTTTATTTGGTGGACCAGAGTTTTAAGTAAAAATTATTCCAATTAGTCACTTAGATTCTGATTTTCTTTTTAAATGATGCAAACTAATTATTGAAAAAATTAACAATCAACCCAATACAAAACTGTTATCAATTATTACTGGTAGAAGTAACCAAAAGTTTTTTAAAATGATAAATAAAGTTGAAGAAAAACCTTGGTGCGGTGATAATGAAAACACATTTTTGTTGTTTGATTATGTTCATGTCATGAAGTGTGTTCGTAATTATTGGTTAACTGAATAAAGCGGAGAACTAGTTTTTGACTTTGTAACAAACATGTAGCAAAATGGAGTGATTTAGTAAATCTTTACAAGTTGGAATCTGCTAATTTTTTAAAGCAAATTAAATGAAATTTCCATCTCTCCAAAACCAATTGAGCAACAGAAAGTTGATGCTTGCTTACATTTTTCTGTGATGAAACGGTTGCTGCTCTTACAAATCATCCATCCATTAAAAAAGATGAAGTTATTGGCACCAAATTTATTTCTATTGAAAATAGAAATAAATTTGGTGCCAATTTAATTTCTATGAAGTTTTGAAAAATTTGTAATGTAAAAGGTGTTGGAGCAGATATTTGTTATAAAGATGAGTACCATGGAGTTATAAGATCACACACAGACAAAAACCTGCTATTCTTATTAGATGTGGCAGATATGGTTGAAAAAATGAAAAAATCAGGTGCAAAATGTATTAAGCAGCTTACAAAAGATACCTCTAAATGTATTTCTCATGTGTGTAGGGGGTTAGTCAACATTGCAAGATATCTTTTGGATTGTAGAAATGATTATGTTATCCTGGGGTGGTTCACAACTGATCCATTAGAAAAAACTTTTAGTAAGCTTCGCCAGGGTTCTGGAGGAACCTATTTTATTACTGCTCAATCTGTCATAGAAAAAGTTAGAATCCAACATGCAAAACTTTGTTTACAGTTAGAAATAGATAGTTTTGATGATTGTACCAATGGTCATTCCTGTAAAAACTGTTTTCGAAGTTTAAATGAGCATGAGTGCAAAAATTTTGATAACATGCCAGAACTTAAAGATAAAGTTTAAGCAGAATCATTACTTTCAATTATATATATTGGTGGTTATGTTCAAAGAAAAAATGGCAATGATCAAACTGATACACAATTTTATTATAAAAAATGTGGTGCCTGCATTTTATGACTTGATTACAGGAGGTCTTGTTATTCCCTTTGACAATATTGTTCAATGGTGCATATTTTGTTTTATTTTATTTGAGCAGTTATCAGAAGAATTTTGTCGAACATTTTTGATGAAGTCATTCTTATCTGTATCAAACAAGTTTCAATTTGGTATTTATGACCGACATTGTTGCACTTTAGCAAATATATTTCTTAAAAATCTAGCAATAATAAATCTCCAAGATGCTCCAAGGAGTCCAGGCAATAAGTTTTAAAACTGTCATGAAAATGAGTTTCTATTTAAATTTTATCTTATATAAGAATTATATTATAGTTTATAACTTTATCGTAGTTTTACTTTTAAGACAGCTTTTATATATTGTTATTGTTATTGTTATAGTTTATATATTGTTTTTTGCTCTCCTTGTCCGCATCCGCTTTACTTATTAGCGCTTCGCTCGGCCTCCAGTCAATAAAAATTTCGGCCTCGTTGTCAAGGCCTGTATTTCTAGAAGGCTATTGGAAAATCAAATTAAAGTTGTCTTGCCACGCTAAATATAGATTGCATCAACTTTTAGTTTTAAGATAAAAAAAAGCATCTAATTTAAACTAAAATATCATGAACACATTTATTAACTCTTATAACCTAATTTAAATATGTGAATAATATATGAATATGCTATACATGTTTTTAAGCATCATATTATGTTTATAAGTATTTTTTTCCTTTATGTTAACTCTTTGTGAGGATTTATTGTAAAGCATTTCCTATTTAGGACAACAAGATAACAGCCCAATTAATGAACATATGTGTTATGAACCCAAGAAAGTTGTAAGTTTATTGAAAACTGATTCCCCAATCACTACAACCGCTTCTTTTCAACTGCGACCTGAAGCTTTTCTTAAAACCACTCAATTTTCTAGTTCAAATACAGAGCCTTCTGGTGTAAAAACAGAATTTTCTATTGAAAACACATATAAAAAACCAGTTCATGAACAAATAAAACAAAATCCCAGTACAGATTCAAAAGGTCATTTTTGGTACGATGTATTATATGGGGGTATTGGGTTTATTGTGGGAATATTTATTACAATCTTCATTATTAAAGTAAAGAAGTCTTGGACGGAAAAAAGGTAATTTTAAATTTTTATTATTTTGAAAAAGCATGTTGCATATCATGCTGCCAATGGGTAAAGTATTTCAAAGTAAAATGGCGTTGGATAAAGTATATTTAAAAGTTTCAAATTAAAATTCATTTTTATTTTTTAGTCTTTCTCAAACTAAAGCTGTATGCCCAGAGATTTATAAAGAAAAAGATAATAAAACTGAAATAATAAATCCGAACAATCAAACCCAGCTATTATTTAGCGATAATCAGGCATATCGGCATTCTACTGAAGGTAATCCGCTAATTGAAAAACTGCCATTTTCTAATGAGAATGATTGTGTCATTCTCGTGTCTAAGTAAATAGAAATTAAATTTTTTGTCTTTTTTTTAATTTATGTTTTATTGCATAAAATATATACTTCATCCCCGTTTTTTTACTGTAGCATCAAATACTTTTTACGTTTTTTACTTATATATTTACTTTTAATTTTTATTGTTATTATAAAATTTTTTTTTTATTTACTTCTATTATTATGTAGTTTTTTATTTTGTATATATTGTATATATTTTTTATTAAACATTTTATATTTTTAAGAAAGTTACTGCACATTGTAAAATTCCCTTTTAACTGTCCAGTTTATTTTTATGAAAATGTTACTGCACATTGCGTGATTACTTTTTAAGTGTTTAGTTTATTTTTATTAAAAAGTTACTGCACGTTGTGTAATCACTTTTTAAGTGTTTATTTTCTTAAAACTGTTCAAGTCTCCTATTCTTTTTGTCGCCTTGCGATTGTGTTTTGTACTTTTATTGTGTGCGATATTTGTTTTTGTCAGTAACTACGGTAAAACCTTGTCTCATATTACAAGTCTACTAGAAGTTTGATAACAACAATAACAAAATATTATACAGAAGTATAAAATTATACTCTGAAATACTATGTGATATTTAATTTTCTATATAAAAAATCATTTCATAATTTTTTTGTAATATAGTTCACACTGAACCTCATAAAATCCTCTATACTTTTATATTTATATCTCAATCATTTTGTTTTTAAAAGATGGTTTGCAAAATCTTTATTTATTATATTTTTATTACAGCTAGTGTATTCAGCGCAAAGTGGCCTACATCCTGATATCAGTAAGGTCCAAATATTTTTTCTAAGTTTAGTACAGTTTGATTAAGTCCCGTTTGAAAAAAAAGAATCGCAACTATTATTGCGATAAAGCCTGTTAAAGGATTAACAGGCTTTATAATAACAAGTTTAACAGGCTTTATAATAACAAGTTTAACAGGCTTTATAATAACAAGTTTAACAGGCTTTACAATAACAAGTTTAACAGGCTTTATAATAACAAGTTTAACAGGCTTTATAATAACAAGTTTAACAGGCTTTACATAATGGTTAATTTTATGATCTTAATCCGAATAATTTCCTATTCTCTTATTTTCAATTAGGTTAACTATTCCGAAATTAACAACCAAATTAATTCTCAAGTTTTGAGAATAAGAAATATATATTCAAAGGGCAATTTTTTTATTTTTTTGAAATCAGAATGTTGAAATGAATTTATTCATTTCAACTTTTTCTCATCGAAATTTAATTACAAATTTTGATGAGAAAAAAATCAAATATCTTTAATAAAATGACTTATTTAGAAAATAAAAAATTATTTGAAAACGTTTATCAAGAGCCACGATAACGTGAGCCCTTGTTTTTTTGGTGTTTCAGCAATTGTGTGTTTATGCAAATACCAAAGCCTTTGACTTCGGTATGTGTATATACACACAGTTGAATAGTAATATATCACAATAACCCAAATCTAGGATATCTATCTTACTTTTGTATATTTCTTTGTCTACACGCTTTTATATGATGGTATAATAAAGTAAATCAAAAATCCAGATTATTTACTGGTGTAAAAATTTAAAGAGCTTTCATAGAACACATAGTTCGACAAAAAGAGAAACTTCTTGTCCTCAATGCTAAAGGCTACTGATTGTATTAGTGCACACATTGAATTTTTAAATAGTTTTTTAAAGTAAGTATCAAAATAATAGTTTTGTCTATAATTATGATTTTTAAATAAAGGTTGTTATTAAAAATGGTAATTTATGGCTATTAAAAATGGTAGTTTATGGCTATTATAAATAGTAGTTTATGGCTATTAAAAATGTTAGTTTATGGCTATTATAAGTAGAGAACTTTTTCAAAGCTCTAGCAAAAGCTTGATATCCAGATTTTTACGTTTACGATTATGTTGATTTCTAACTTTATCTTTTTTAAAAATAGAGAACATGGAATAAATTAGTTAAAGGTGGGCTTAAAAATGAATCGACCCTTACGTATATGCTGAATATGCGCAGATAATCGTTTGAGCAGCTCTCGCGAAGTGGTTAAAGCGCTTGCTTTAGAAGCAAAAGATCCAGGGTTCAAAGCGAGCTTTGGATATACTTCGTACCAACTTCCTTGTTAAATTCTTTTCGCGGTACTCTGTGACTAGACCGTTAGGTCTTATTGAGACTCCTAGAAAAAAATTAATTTAAAAAAATCGTTTACACAGTTTAAACGAAATAAAAGGTGATAGCTAAGATTTTGTAATACCTGGCAGGGGTTCAAAGAAGAATCCGATTCTTTTAGTTCAAGCCAATCATTTGACGAACAATTTGCAGCAAATGATATTGGAGTTCATTTGTTGATTTTAAAGCAACACACAAACTTCAGCCCCTGAATGCTGGTGTTTACGGATCATTTAAACGCTTGTACAATTGTTAACTAGACCTTTGACTTCTAATTTTTATACTAGCGGAACTTTTCAGACTAGCTTTGTTAAAGGGATTATTGCCAACTAACATTTCTAGTGGTTTTTCGTTGGTTGTTTGCAGTGCAAGCTCCAGTTTTTCCATTTTTAAATAAATACTTTGTGCCTATGCTCTTGCTACTGTAACAAAAATATCGTCGTCATAAATACTCGTTAATGCATTCATTGTATATATATTTAATTGAAAGCCTAAATTCACCTATTTTATAAGCTAAATAAAAATGAAAATATTCCTTTTTAAACTAGCTGATATTCATAAACATCTAGGTGTGGTCTTGGATGAACCTTGTCGTGAAAGCTCCAACTAAACACTTTAGAGAGAAAGCTCTCAAGAAATATTTCATTGATGTCTAAAGTAAAACCTTTCCCGAATATCCTAGCCTTAAAATATATATTTTTTATTAATGCATAGTTATGGTAATAAATATTTACCTAAGTTATGGTAACATGGCCTGTTCAAGCACAGATTACACTAGGCTTAAAAAACTCTGCAGTAAACAAAAACCTGCCTATAGAACTGTCTTTGTAAGTAAAAAACGTGTCTTGTGAACCTCTCTTATGTAAACTTGGAACGTTGAATGTATAAATTAAAATATGGACTCCACCAATAATGCAAACCTGTTTTAGCGAAATAAGCCATAAATTTCCCTCAGATTATTACTATTAAAATAAATGATGATGTTACTATTAAAATTGATGTTACTTTTACTAAAAGAAATACACTTGAACAGTTCAAATCTGAATCAAAGCATTATTCATTGTCAACGGACTTGAGTTTTCTTTTTCTTTTTATTAAAGTAATATAAACTAATTAATTTCTTTTACTTGCTTTTACTTTTTTTTTTCCAAATTTATTTTTCAAAATGAATTTATATATTATTTATGAATTTTATTGTGAATTATGAAACACTTATCACGGTTTTATATATTTTATTATAAAAAAACGACCTGTAATGAAGCCATAATGGGGCTCAGTGATAAGACAAGCTGATGTCTTCTTTTGCTTAAGTCATTTGTTTTATTATTTGTTATTTTATAAATTGTAACTTTCTACGGCAAAAATAAAAAATGCAAAAAAAAAAAAAAATATATATATATATATATATATATATATATATATATATATATATATATATATATATATATATATATATATATATGTACTTCCATAATTATTTTTTGTTGACAGAATCGGCTCGAGTAATTCATCTTGTTTTTGATAAAGGTTTCATCAATTTTTCATATATTTTTTGTAGAACATCCAACCGTTTTGTAAACTAAGAAAAAAAAATAGTTTATAGATTCTATGCAAGCATTAGTTTCACACAATCCAGCCAAACTTAGCGAATGTCCTGCGCATGTTAAAAACTTTGCCTGGCTGTTTTAAAAACATCTTCATATCTTGTACTTTCCACTCATTATAGAAGCATTATCGTATGATTGAGATCTGCTGTCTAAAAAGTTATTTAAAAATTACTACTGTGCTACCTAAATTTGCGCCACTGTGATCCTCAATATTTGGAATATAATAAAAGAAATAATTCGCAAAAATATTTCGATTAAAAACAATTTGCCACAAAAACTGTTAATTGATGAAAAAGTTGTTTATGATAAAGAAAGTTTTTTTTGCATTTTTTAAACATTTGCACCTCTCAGAAAATCTGAGAGGTGCAAATGTTTAGCTTGGCTTAAATACTATATAATAAGATACATTGTTTTACCGTCATTTTGATGGTCGTAAATTTCTTTAGCATACTCATTTTTATATATTTTTAGACTGTTTATTATTTGACTCCTGTCCCTATATAACCTAGTGGGTTCAAAAAGAAAGGACCGCGCTGGAAACATGAGGGGGTAAAAAGGATCAGCCCTTTTTGAATTATTAGCCGGTAAGTCTAATGTGTTTCACTCAGTTAATCAAGTTTCGTTTGCTTTTTTGTATTACATTTAAGCAATGGACTGTTTTTTATGTTCACTTGTTTTTTAGAAGTAATCAACATATTGATTATGTTGGTACTAAAGTTTCAAAAAATATTGGATTTCTTTATAAGGCCAGAATCTATATAAATAAAAAAGTTTTATCCCAACTTTATTATGCATTCATTCATAGCTATATGAATTATGCAAATATTGCTTGGGCAAGCACTGAAAAAAGTAAGTTACAATCTCTTTAACGCCGTCAGAAACATGCAATACGTGTAATTAATTTTGCTGATCGTTTTTCTCACTCTAAACAACTTTTTTCTGAAATGAGAATACTTAATATTTACGAACTTAATATTTTTAATACTTATGCTTTGTATATATATGTAAAAACAATCTTTCTCCTGCCGTTTTTAATGATTTAACTACTTTGAAACCTACCAATAAATACTCTCAAGAAATAACAACCTTCTATATGAGCCTTTTTGTCGAACAAATTTTAACCAATTTTGTATTGATTATCGTGCACCCCATCTTTGGAACAAAATTGTTTTGCCTAATTTTAATTTTGATCAACCTACTTCTTTGCATCTTTTTAAAGTTAAGTTGAAAAATCTTTTTCTCTCCCATATTATCAAAATTTGACAATAATATTTATATTATGGAAATATTTATTAAACTTTATTACACTCTAAAAAAAATCCCGTTAAAATCAACGGGGTTGTTTACGGAGTACTCCCTCATTCTAGCACCAACGGAGTACTCCGTTAGTTAAACGGAGTAATAATTTAACGGATTCAATCCGTAACTCTAATGTAACAAATTACTCCGTAAATGTTTGCGGATAGTTCGTTGAAGTTACAAAATTCTCCGTAACATAAAAAAAACTATTTTGTTTATCATAAAAAATTGCTGAAATAAAACAGTTAGAGATGTTTTATTCCGTATTATTTTTGCAACTAATTACTCCTATAAACTTAACATTAGTGTTTATCTAAACACTAATAATTAGTTATCTATAACTAATTATTAGTGTTTATCTAAAAATTAGTTTAACTGATTTGTATTAGAGATTAGGGTTTTAGACAACATAAACAGCAACAAAACATTTGTAAAAATAAATAAAAATAACACGTTGTAACAAAATTGTAAATCTTCATGTATATTAAGATAAATAAATGATACATTTAAGTAAAAACATATTTAGAGAGTGTTGATCGCAGCTCAACCACTCCATTAGGCAACGAACCGTACTGCAGCCCATAAATATCTTGCATAAACTGCCAGAACATGATTGTTGATGGCTGGTATTCGATGTTAAAACACCAAAAAATCTTGAATAAACGATCGATGCCTTCTACAATAGATGTGCCGGCTTCAATCAAAGTTTTTTCAAATGCAATCTTTATAGAGAGAATTTTTTCACCCTCAATCCCCTGTATTAATATTACCGGATAAGGGGACTCCAACTTTTCTGCAACATCTTGCAGTCCATGCTCAGCCTAAATTTGCAATGAAACTTTTGTTATCTCGGTTACAATATTATTATAAATTGTATTTATATATTTATAAATTATAATTTTTTGTTTTTTTTTAATTTAAAACTTATGTGCGCTGTAAATTAACTAAAAAAAAAAATTTCTTACACTGCATATCCGAATGATTTCATTGGCTACTTCTGGAGCAGAACGTTTCTGTTTCCCCCTTGTCGCAGAAGCGAGCACAAAAGCTTGCATGCATAATAAGCTTTCCAATCTAAAACAAATATATAAACCATACGAAAACGTAAAAGTGCCAAACATACAAAGGTAATTTTATGCAAAATATTTGTGAACAAAAAAAAAGAATATCTTTAATAAAATTAATGCAAACCATGATGTTTTTTAGATGCCATTATAGCTAGAGCTTTGATGTAATCACTATTTGACAGTGAAGCATATTTTAATACTGGGTCTGCAACAGTCTGATTAAAGGTTTTCAGGATATCAACCATGCAGTCTGAATATTTTAATTGAAATTCCATATCAATCTAAAAATAAATATTTTTGAATACAATGCCTAAAACTGAATTAATCATATCAATTTAATTGCTATAAATCATTTAATAACAAACTATCTGGACAATTATTTTATTATCACTTATACATGTATGAATATTATACACTAAAGTTTCATATCTGATAAAAAGAGCCACATAAATTTTTACAAAAAAAATACCAGCTCTGGAATAATCCTGAACTTTGGAAATTTAACCATCAGTCGGGATAATGAAGGTTGATCTGTTGAATGAACCCAATTCTGCCAAAAACAAAACGTTGACTTTGTAGAAGCCTTAACTTCTTCTACACGTGTAGAAGATAATGAATCAAGCTTTTTAATTTCATCGAGGTTGCTCATTCCTGAAATTAATTCAAATATGAAAAACACAGAGCAACAATATAGATATTAAATTTATAATAAACAATAATTTTGAAAGACCTATATTACTAGGTCTTTTTTTATTTTATTTTACTTAGTAAAATTGTTAGCAACAAATAATTAGTAAATATTAAGTCTTTACAACATATATGTTTTTTATAACAAAAGGTTTTTACAAGATATAGATAATTAGATAACCTAAACATAATGCGCAAAACATGAAACCACAGGGACACCCTTCAGATTCTACTGCATGATCCACTGGTTGAGATAGTTCAGTACCTGCAAGTTTAGTTGTATCACAACAAGTTAAGTTGTGTCCCCTTTTACGAGACCAAACAAACTTTTTTTCATAGCTTGTAAATGTAGCTGCTTGTATGACACAAAATAAGGCAATGATTCAAATAAACTTTTAGTAACTAAAATGAATTATTTGCAATCGAGACATACAGTGGAGAAATTACATCACAATAACACACAACAAGGAGATTACAAAGCAAGTTGCTAATATAAAAAAAAGTTGGTAAGCATCTACAGTTAAATTTATATTCAATTAATTTAACTAATTTTAATAAACACCAGGTAACTTTCTTCTAGCATTTTCCAATCCTCTCTCCAGGAAGCCATGATAATTAGTAGAATCATAAAAAATGCATGCTGGAAGTACCAGTGCCTCACTTAGCACTGCTGCCACTAAAATCTTTTGATATCGATCAGGATAATTACCATACACACTCATCATTTTGTGCACAACAACTCGAATGATGTGCTGTCTAGTAGAGATTGAAACTTTACCAGATTCAATCTCTTCAGTATATTGACAAGTACTCTATAAAGTAATACTTGATATTGCTATTCATTAAAAAAAAACTGTTGACAAAACATTGATAAAACTTTTATTGCTAAATAAGCAAGTAAAGTAAAATTATTGCTAAAAAATTATTACGTAAAAATACGTACAACTATGTATGTATGTAAAAACTATTTAAGTATTGTACTTACAGGGTGTTGCGCAAGAAAGGCTTTAATTGAATTAGCTGAAACAAACGCCTCATTTGCACCTTTCATTATATGGCTGTTGTTAACAGAAACACTAGATTCTGAGAGTGTAATACTAGAAGTTATTGTAGTTTGATTTGGCTGCATCGAAGGCAACATTAAGGGTGAATTTGAATTTGTCTGTATTAAAACAAATGAATTTTTTAAAATTTATAAAAACAGTTTATAAAGTTAAAAAACACTAGAAAATCCTAATTTCAAAATATTACAAAGTATTTATGATGAAAAAAAGTTTATTAAAGAATTTATACAGTAGCAGTCTTTAGTTGTAATTTAAATTGATTTACCGAAACAGCATTAGTCTACTGCTGACCATCTATGAGTAGAATGAGAATTGTGTTTGATTCTGCTAATTGTTTTATTATTTCAAAATCAACTTCATCAACTTCAGTGCCATCATTTTTGTAGACAAAGCTAACAAGTTGATCTGATTTCAAACCAAACTTGCAACGCACTGGAATAACAATACACAGTCATTTAGCTTTTTATATACACAAAAAAATTCAGACTAGTTAAAGTGAATATATATATGAATGCACCGTAACAACTTCATATACAATTAAACAATTATACATATTTAATAACTTAAGGTTTATATATTTTTCAGTTTGTAATGCATAAATAAAAAAGCAATCAATATTTCTACAATATTTTTATTCTAAAAAATTGTGTATCTCAGATTTACAAAGTTGCTGTATTTGCCGCCTTCTTCGGCTATACATGTGACATTGTATGGATGATAGTCTTTGAGCTGATTTGTATGTAAAACAAGCAGTGTATTTGGATTGTTAAATTTTTTAACTTCAAAAGAATGAAAATGTTCATGAAAATGTAATGTTTCAAATGGATAGCATACAAAGTATATTTGTTTTGCAAGAGAAACAATGCATTTTAGCTCTCCAAACTGAGGATGACTTTCCACGATGCCATGACACAAAACACAACCCGGCTTAATTTCATAACAGCCAAACTTTACTGAATGAGCAACATATATTTCATCACAATTGTCCACGTTTAAAACTGTGCGCAAACTATTCGATACTGCTGATTGCAAATTGCCTACAATTACTGTATCACATATGCCAATTTGTACATAGTCTGTATACAAAGACCCACTAAACAATGTATTTGCTAGTTTGAGTTGACTACGATGCATAGTAGTTTTGCAAATGTTTTTAAAATTGCGAATAACAGAAGCAAGTTCTTTAGCAAATCGATGCTTTGCCTCAAAACGCATACACCAGTACCTGCTTAAAGGTCCATACTTTGCCATAAATTCTGGATAATGTAGCATAAAATGATGTTTTGGAATAAGTCTCTTCTCAGGATATAAGTTTTTAAATTGGGCATGATGTTCCTCCAAATTAAACTCTAGCTGACGAATGAGGCCAACAGTTATAGTTGGTGCAAATATTGCATCCATGCAATCAAGTAACATTAGTAGAAGTCTCCAATGAGCATCACCTTCTGGAATTAGGTTTCCAATCATTAAAGGCAGATTTCTTATCAAACACCATGACTCAGCAGCTTGAATGCGAATATTTTTTAAGTTTACTTCTGGTGGTTTGCTGTTTTTGTCAGCCAATGAATAATTATAATTATTGATTACATTGTTGATATCTGCAAGCAGAAAATACTTTTTGTCTATCAGTGATTGCAAAACCAAGCATATTTCTAAAGGTACAACACCTTCTAATACATCATGCATGCAGTCAACTTCACTCTGGTCTATGCAGTGAAACTGTGACAAACAATTGAAAGGACAACCATGCTTAATTCCAGATTCTGAAGCATTGTAGTTATTGTTTCTACATTCTGATACACACATATCATATTCTTCTCGAGTCCTCCTAACAAACGTTTCTGCCTTGAATGAAGTTTGAATTTCAAAATGTGCACACTTGCAAAATCGACAAAAAATTTTTGCATTAAAGCTTTCCATGAAGCCAAACATAGTGTGTGCTCCTAAATTATCAGCAGAAAACAAAATCAAAATGGCATGAATAGTTTCTTCCACTCCATTAACTACGACAACAACACCCTGTTCACTTTCCAATTGTTGCAATAAAGATACAACACTATGAAGAATTGGATAGTATGAGTATTTATCTGTGTGTGCATCTAGCGCATACCATAAACCTATCAAAAAAATGCTATCAGTCTTAGACTGATACTCAGGAGCAATATTGCGTATCATCATATATAATGCTTCAAGTTTATGTACACGTGTATGGCTCCCAAGCACATTAGTTACTTCAAACGCATCAATAAAAAAGTGTAGCAAAAATGTTTTTTGGTGCCGTTGAAGAAATGAATGATGGTGAAAAGTATGTGTATCAACAAAATCTTGTATTTTATTTGGGAGTGAACTTGGTGTGCACTATGGGAAAGCAATCCTTGATGAAGCTTGTTCCAATATCTTGGCAAGTAGGATATCAATAGGTACAACATAGCATTTGTCCTCTACTAAAACAGAATGCATCGATTACAATGCCATAGAGTATTTTTGCTCTTCACGTATACCCAGTGATATTTCTGTTGCCTCAATATAGTACCCATGTTCTTTTAGCCATTTGTTTCTTTTATATACAGTGTCAGTTTTATTGAAAATGCTAAACATACTTTTGACATCTTTTATCACATCAAAAACAAATTCATTAGTTGGAGCTACTTTCAAATTAATTGCTAAAGTTTTTATTGTCTTTGAAGCATAAACAGCAACATCATTTAGTAGGCCAGACATATTTTCCATAACAAGCTGCGAATTAGCTAAAGTGATGTTTGGTTTTGAAGTTATTTCTGATACAAACTTCATAACAGATACATCAATACTGTCTCTTGTTATAGAATTAGAATTAACAATTGTGGCATTATTACAATCTTGATCTAGGTCACTTGGAAAATTTGTGTCAAATGCATCTTCATGTGACTCACTTAGTAAGTTGTTGCTGCAACTTGCATTATTGTTGAAGCCAAAAGTTTGAACTGGCACAACAGAATGATGGTGCTGGAAATGCTTTTTTAACTTACTAAAGCTTAGGAATACTCGTGGACAGTTATTAAACATACAGCGTATTTCAGATCCCCTTGTAGCTAAGCCATGAAAATTTCGAAAATGGTAAAAAAGATCGAATAAATCTGCAAAATAAATTGAGCATTTAAAACATTGCATGTTTGTTTTAAAATATTTTTATATTGTCACCTTTTGCAGCAAATTCTTCACTGTTATTGATGGCAACTAACTTCTTAATAATTCGATCAGAAGACCATACTTTGATTAGCACAGACATTCTGTAAATGCATAAAACGTTAAATTATACATTTAATTAATTAATTAACGTAAGTTAAATTTCAACTTAATCAAGAAATGACATTAATAAAGAAAATAACTAACCTTAAAGACACATGATAATATTCACTAATTAAAATTGAATACACTAATTTAAATAAGTTTTTAGTTTCAAATAAATATTAAGTGTTCAAAGTAATATTTATGAACTCCTTTATACACGCTTGAACTCCGTTAACTTAACAAAGTTATTCTGTTATATTATATTTAAAGAAGTAATCCGTTGTAAAACAACGGATTACTCCCTTAATTTGTATCAATTAAATCTGTATCCTTTACGGAGTTTAACGGAGTTACTGTCAACGGAGTTACTCCGTTGATATTTTAACGGATTTTTTTTTAGAGTGTATATATACTACAAAGTGATATATGTATGAATATTTTATTTTTATTTTGTTGTACTTATAGTTACTTTATAATATAACATTTTGTTTACACTAGTATAAGGTTCTGACAATAAGATCTTACTGATCTTCTTTCAGATACCTAGTTTTTCAAATGTTAGTAGTATTTGCTTACTTTATAATTTGTATTAATTTTTTATTTTCTCTCATTATATTGTAAAAACGAACTAACAAATGTAAACTAAAATAATTTTTTTTTCGGCATTAGAAAAAGCTTTTTGTAATACTTTGTATGAAGAACTATTATCATTTTAATTTGATAAAAAAAGCTTTTCATTTATGAAAAGTAGGAATACTATAGTGTATAGGATACTATAGTATACTAAAAAGTATGACAAAAAAAAGGTCGTTCTAAAAAATATGTCGTTCCGACCCCGAGAAAAAAACTTTTTTAGAAGTGCATATTTAATAAAAAAAGACGTTTTAAAAACGCATTTTTTATGTCTTTTTATAACAAGATAAAGACAAAAAAGACGCCTTTTCGATGTCGAAAAAAGATGTCTTTTAGATTATGCGAAAAGCCATAAAAAGAATATAATCAAAGACGATTTTTTTTTTAAGGAGCGTACTTTTTAAGGACTCACCCCACCCTCTCATTTTATTAGTATATATATATATATATATATATATATATATATATATATATATATATATATATATATATATATATATATATATATATATATATATATATATATATATATATATATATATATATATATATATATATATATATATGAATGTATATTGACGCTCATTTTCAATTCATGAAAGTGCTTTTTAATGCTATATTTTCTTTTTATTTTTAAATCTTCAAACCACTTCAAGATATCAATATATCTCAAGATGTTTTAAAGCTAGTGTTGACATTATTAATATGTAACATTTTTTTATAGATTTAGTTGCTGTTTACAAATAAAAATTTGTTGCAATGTTAAAAAAAAAAGAACCATTAAAACAAATGTTAAATATCATATATATATATGAACATGAAGCGGTATGTTAAATTTTCTAGACTCGTAATAAACTTTTGATCGAGTTTCAATATTTTTACGTTTTTGCTTTTATTTTATATAAGTTTGTTTTTATGAATTTATTTTAAAACGTTTTTAATATGCAAAAAGATAAAAACTGCACTAGTAACAACGAATAACAAACGAATTATTAATAATACATGGATTTAGACTTAAATAAATATCATTTAAATTAATACAAAGAAAATAAAGAATTTTTGTATCACGTAAAAACACCAAACAGAAACTTTGATGTTTTGAAACTTTGAATCTAGAAAACTACAAAAGTGTATTATAATGCATCACGAAAAGAATGTTTTACTCGTCGAATGTCTTTGTCGGATGTTTTTTTTGTCGAATGTTTTACCGTTTAAATGTTTCACTCGTCGAATATTTTACTCGTCGAATTTTTTATTAGTCAATGATCGAAGAGTACTAGTAATCAGGTAATTTTTGATCCATTTGTTAACCTTTTTATTTTATTATTTTTTTCTATTTTGCAGTTTTCTATTAGAGAATTGGGTTGTAGGCGTCAAATTTTTGCATTAATTAATAATTTAACAATAAAGACGGTTGAAAAACTGTTTCAACGGTATTTTATGCCTCCAATTAAATTTTTTTTAGTTACTTTTTTAGCATTGAAAAAATTAACACAAAGCATTTTTAATGTGTAGTTGTAATTTAGAAACATAAAATGTAATCGGGAAGCGGGAAAACTGGGTGGAAAGCTCTGGAGAGCTTTTGCCCGAAATCACATATAACCTTCCTTAACAACCACTGTAGTATAGTAGCAATTTGCCAGGGCGCGTAAAAGTTATTGCGAATTGTGTATATATGTTCCGAAAATCTTTTAAATGTCTTTTTTTTAAAAAAAATAACTTTTAAGAATTTTAGATTTATGAAAAAAATAGTTTTATTGCAAAATTTCACATTTTTTATGTCACAAAATTTCACATTTTTTATGTCACAAAGAATTTGTAAAAGATTTATGTCACAAAGAATTTGTAATACACATAACGTAACTGTAATTAATACCCGCCACGTGCTTTTTTCTTAAAATTTAACTTTTTTTAGGATTGTAGGCTGTTTTTTAAATAAATGGTTTTTATAATTTTTTTCTATATTTAGGTATATTGTATACATTTTTTCTTTGTTAGTTTGCAGTTAATAAAATATTCACAATTTCCGTATAGATATATAGCCTTGGTAAAAAGACGACACGTGTTCGTCTTGTCCTCAAACCCCCAAAATACTAAAAACAAAAATATTTAAACATAAAAATCGAAAAAAAATATGTAATTATAAACTTGGACAAAAAAAATAGTGAAGGTTTTATATAAGTTTATTAAAACAATTAAATAAAAATATAAATTTATAGAAACAATTTCAAAAAAAATTTTTTTTTATGGATTTAGAAATAAATTATTAGGCAATTAAAAAATTTCACTATTTTTTTCTAAAGAAAGACTTTTTAAATTCAAATGTAATGGTATATATTCACATATACTCATGTTCGTCATTACACATCAAACATAAAAATAAATAAAAAATTAAATAATAACAATAAATCCAAAGTTTATTTAAACCATAAACAAACAAACCTCAAAACAAAAAGAAATGTTAAAATCAATTTTAAATTTTTATAAAATAAGATTATTTATATTCAATTATTTTCATCTACAATTCCTTATATTTTAAACTACCTAAAGAATTGTGCTCAATAACAAACGGCTATGAGTTATTAACAATTTAGCACCAGAAAAAAAGTGATTTTGTACGTCATATATAGACCGCCTAACATAAAATCATTTATTAAATACTTTAAATGTTTAATTGCAAAAAAATAATATATTTGGCAAATGCATTTATTTTGTGGGCGCTTTTAATTTAGACTTGATCGATTATGAAAACAATGAAAACATCAGAAATTTTTATCAATATTATATTTTAAAATAGTTTCATGTAAACAATAACCAAACCAACCCGCGTTACAAAAATATATAAATATATAGGGGAAGCTTGCGTAAGATGAGCAGGTTCCTAAGATGGTATAACCTCTTAGACTAATGATTTTTTCGCGAATTTTTTAAATTAAGGATATTCATACAAGTTCGACAGTGTTATTTATTTTGATTTCTTGTTGTATAGTAAATATTCTTTGATTGTTTTACAGTTTTACAAAAATTTACCATCCCGATTGAAGTTTTTTATTATTCAATATTTTGTAATTACGTCAGAACAAAACAAGATCATCAAAAATTTATTACATCTTCAATATTTTATGCTTATCTACTGCTAATTCAATGGGTTATATGAGATAATGCATAAGCTGTTGTCATGTTATTTATGCTATGATAGTGTTTGTTAAGATGATACATTTTTAGACACTCAAGATGAGATAAGACTTTTTATTAAAAAAGCGCGTTTTTTTAAGGTTATTTTGGAATTTTAAAAGCGAAAGTTTTTTCAAAAAATAGTATTGTTAACTTTTTTAGAGATAGGAAAGATTTATTGTTTTTATATGGTTGACATAATAATTTTTACTTAAGTGTAGTCCTTGAAGATAGAATTTAATTTAATTTTTTTTTTGTAATTATTTTTTTGTTATTTTGAGTTTTTTTGAGTTCCATTAAAAAAACTCATCTTAGGAAACTGGTTTCCTAAGATGAAATGATTGGGTGTGTTAAAGACAACGTAGTTTTTGGTATAAAGATTTTTTTTAAATGAACTGTTCATTTATATTTTTTGAGAGGAGAGATTAAATTATCATCATTATTTAAAAAAATATATCGTTTTTTAATCTTTTGGGAGCCAAGCACTTTATACACTGAAAACATGCTCAACTTACGCAACCTTCCCCTAAAAATCATTTTTCATCAATTTATCAAATCATAGTTAGCAATTTCAAAAACATTAAAGTTAACATTAGAATAATTATAACTGTCGTCTCAGACCAAATTTTTCCTATATTTATTTAAAACTTTTTTGAGAATATATAAAAATTCTCAAAAAAGCATTAAATAAATATAGGAAAAAGTAATTATTTTCAACAATCTCTTATCTGCCACAAATCAGGAACCTATTGTTGTAATGGACAATAATAAGAATACATTAACATAGAATACATTATTTTAGAAAACACTAACATTATTATAATGGACAAGAATAAGCTAATTAAAAAAAACTAATTGATGCATTAAATTATTAAAACCGAATAAAGGTAATGGAGTTGATCGTGTAAACAGTAATATAATAGTTTAATCTATATTTTATTTAAAAATCCTTACATTGCATGTATTTAGTCTGTTTTTAGAACAAAGAATCTTTTCTGATAAACTTAAAGTTGCAAAGCCCTAAAATCTGGTGATGTAACCTGTGTATTAAATTACAGACCTATCTCCATATTAATATGCCATTCAAAGTTATTAGAACATATTATGCATAAAGTAAATATATATATATATATATATCTACTATAGCATATTTATATGCGCAGTTGCTCACTTTTTTTGCAAGCCTAAATTAAGTGAGCGTTTTAAGAAAACGGTGAGGGAAAACGAAGAATAATGAATGAAAAGGTTGCTGACACATTCAGTATCAGTTCTTTGAATTGATTCCTTTAAAATCTTTTAAAGGAATCAATTCAAAGAATTGATTTCTTTAAAAAATATTAAAGAGAAAACTTTATGATCCAGTACATTATTACCAGTACATTATGCATGTATTGTAATTTTCTAAATAGTTGTAATTTTTAGAAACTTCCCGGTGGGAAATGAGCTAGCGACTAGCTAGCGACTAGCTAGCGACTAGCTAGCTCTATAGCGATTTTCTAGCGATTTTTTTTTTCTTATTTTATTTTTTGCAAATGTCTTTAACATCTTTAAAAATTCGATTTTTAGTGTTGAGTCTATTATAACTATGAAAATAATTGAACTTTAAACATTGCGATTTTGTAGCAATGTGTCGCTAGCTACATATCGTAGCTTTGTAGCTAGCTACAAAATATCTACAAATCTATACCTGGTTGATAGCTACATATCAAAAATTTTTAGACAACGGTTTTATTACGATATGACGCTAGGTACAATAGCCAGTGGATCTTCAGCTTGTTAAGCTAGCTGCCCTCGTTGCCAAATCGCTGTCTTTATCTTTACAAAAATCGATAGCTTTTCGCTAACTTAAAAAAGCTAGCGATCCTCGTGGCCAAATCGCTGTCTTTATCGTAACGATTATAGCTAGCTATTCGCTAGCCGACTTCCCACCGGGTTGTGTGTGGTATTGTTGAAGAGCAAACTTGATTTGTTTATTTCTACTTTAAAAAGAGTTAATTTCGCATTAGAAACATGTCAAGTAGCAGGAGCTATGTTCATTTCAGAAACTTGTTCATTTTTTACAATTTTTTCTTGTTTTTACTTATAATAATACACAACTTTAAAAAAACTAAATTTTGTTAAAATACAATCGACCTTTTATCTTATAATTACTTAAATTGAAATTTTTTTCTTACAATTAATTTTAATTGAACTTTGGCAGATATAACTGCGATGTTTGTACACCTAGAACGTTTTTAACTTTTTGTTCATTTTTTAAGAAAATTCATAATTTGAAAATGAACTTAATTTAAAGTTGGACAAGATTATTTCCCACCAAAAGTTACAAAATCAATATCAAACTTAAATTAAACTTTTATTTAAAAAATTTATTAATTTAGTTTTGTCCTATAAAATTATTACAAAAACAAAAATTTTCTTATTTTTAATGTGTTTCGTTAATTAAATATTTGTTGTTGTTTGTTTGTGTGTATGCGCGTGTGTGAGTGAGTGAGTGTGTGTGTGTGTGTGAGAGAGAGAGAGAACTTAAATAGATTGTTCAATGTACTTAAAAATCAGAGCAGCACCTCAATTTTTCTTTAACTGTTTGTTTCATCTGTTAAACCTTAGTCTATAATAAGGTTTCTAAAAAATGTATAAAATTTTTGCGAAAATTTTTTTTTTAATAACTTAAATTGAGACTATCAAATCGAAAATCCGAATTCTTATCTAAATGTGAGCATGAAAATATGTACTTTCTAAAAAACTATAAAAACAAATGACAAAACTCAAGTTATATCTTTCTAAAGAATACTTTTCATAATTGATTACTATAATTTAATATAACATACTGTTTACTAAAAATAAACTGTAAAAACTAAAAATAAAAGTTTGCTAATTTTTAAGCAATAATTCCTAACTTCCTGTGAGAATTTTTTTAAATTGAACTTTTGAAATTTACATATTCCTAAATAATCTTAATAAGATGAATCCGATAATTAAAAAAGGTACTAGATAATCTTGAATCTTAGTATCTTGATTCCCGGGTCAATTTTCTTTTAACATTTAGAACTTTTTAACAGTTTTTTCAAAAATAACAACAATTTATTTACAAGTTGTAATGTTTTTTCTCGCGTTTAATTCGCTTCCACTTTCTCAAAAAGTTAAAAGTAAAATTGTTACCTGATTGTTGTTAGGTTTTTAAAATGGATAACAATATCTTATTAAAATGCAATTTCTTTTGATTTCTCAAATTTTTGGAGTTCACACACACACACACACACACACACACACACACACACATACACATATACACACACACATTATCATGTTGACATTATAAATCCAAGGTTTTTAAAAAATCATATATCAAATATTAAAACGTGAAAAAAAAGTTTGTTTCGAAATTATTAATTAAAATTTATACGAAATACTTTTCTTTATAACATATTTTTTTCTTCCAAAATTTTTATTTGCAAGTTACAGCTGTCAGTTCAGTAAATATTTCTTATGTTTTTAAGAATATCTAGAATATTTTATTTATTATATACCTAGATATAAAAATAACATCTATTTATTTTAAATAATTTATTTAACAAAAAATGCAAATTATAGATGACGCAAAACACAAATTTCCCGTCTAATTATCATTCCGCTTAACGGTAATGTAACTTGAAGATATTTGTAATTTAAAAAGAGTATTTAATAAAAAAAACCTTTAAAAAAATAGGCGGAGAAGTCTTTATTATTTTCAGAGAACTTTATTATTTTCAAATGTTTAAAATGGTACTTTATAAAAAGTGAAAAAAATAACGTAATTAATTTTTTAAGCGTAGTTAATTTTTTCACGAACCATACCTATCAAATATAATTTAAAAAATAGTTCACGCAAACTCATAATTTTAAAAAATTAACACATTTTGAAATTTAAGATGTGCTAATTTTTTATAAATTATGAGTTTAGATGAAGAATTTTTGTTTAAATCTATTTAGTAGCTATTTTGTATTTCATGGCAAAATTAGTATTTAATTATATTATGATTTTCTAGTAAAAAAACCTAGTATATTAGTAATGTTTTAATTTACTCTAAAAGTAACTTTTTCTATACACAAAAAAGAAACAGGTCAAAATTATTTACGTAATAAAAAAAGCGATAAGACATTATAAAAAAAGACTTTAAAAAATGAATTTTAGACAAATATTTATATATAAAAACATTACTTTGATCAATAGCATGTTTCCTTAAATCGATAAACGTTTTTAGACATAAGGCGATAGAGCACATGTTTAAAAGGTTATTTAATATTTACAATATTTAATTACTGTAAAAATTATTATATTGAAAAATATAATTGTCTAAATTGCCAAGTTTTTTAGATCATAGGACATAGTAGTTAGTTGTAAAAATAGTTATGTAAGAAGATTAAAATTGAAAAGTTGTTAAATATTTGTTTACGTCTTTTGTCAAAATTTAATAATTTCACGTTTTGAAAAGTGCCATCTAAAATATTAATCAAAGAGAAAAAAAATGTCGGTTTTAAGAATTCACAGCAAAATAAGAAATCAAAAAACCTTACCAAAAATGTGATAATAATGAAAATATCTGGAAATATCTCTTTCTTTATATATATATATATATATATATATATATATATATATATATATATATATATATATATATATATATATATATCGTTTTACTTCCTGCTTGTATATATATATATATATATATATATATATATATATTTATATATATATATATATATATATATATATATATATATATATATATAACGATATATATATAACGATATATATATAACGATATATATATATATATATATATATATATATATATATATATATATATATATATATATATATATATATATATATATATATTATATATCGTTTTACTTCCTGCTTGTGCAACTGTTGTCATTTTTACCTGTTTTTGTTACGTATCGATTTTCTTTAATATATTGTGTATTGTGTGTTGTCTCCGTAAGAATTAAAAACGATGCGTAACGTCAGCTAAAATGAATTGCGATAGAGATTATTATGATTCGTCTTATAAATAGGTTTTTCTATAGAATAAAAATAATTAATTTTATAAAAATTTTTATCGTATTTTTAGTGTCTTTTTCAACTTTATGTTGGTTAGAGATCTGACTGAATTTACTATAGAAAAGAACGAATATATTTTTAATCAAAATTTCTATAAATTTGTATTATAAAAATCTTTTGGTTAATTATATATGATGTTTTCATTTAAAATGAATTAAAATATAGAATAATCAGATAAAAATAAATAAATTGGAACAGTTAGGCGGCTTTTGCGAATAAATAAATCCTTAATAAGGTTTAATTTTCAATTAATTAGCCTTTTCCTTTTATTAGTTGCTTTGCTATTTCCCTCAATAACAATTATAAACATAATCGAAACAAACTATTATTATGTTTTTAAAACATTTTAAAACATTCCAAAACCAATGAACATTTTTATTTTACAAAATCTATTTGATTTAATAAAGAGATTTATTTTGGTATTTTATTTTTGTTGTTCTGAGCTCATTGATTGTGTTTTATGGTTTTAAACTTATAGCCACGCCGTTTTTTTGATAAATTCTATTTATTAGTTTTTGATATATGTTCCTTTTATTGTAACTTTTTTGTCATTTCTACTCAAACAAAGGTTATCAATGATCAGAAGACATATATATATATATAAGTGTTTTTAAAAGTATCTGTAAAGCACCTGGAAAAAAAACTAGATAACCTATCTATAACATAATTCAAATTTATATACTCCCAAAACTCAAAATTATTTATATAAATTCATAACGTTATCATTTTTGTTAATTATATATATATTTTTTCAAAATTGCTAACCTGGTTTAAAAAGCCGTAAACAAACTAAAACGCATCAAGTGAGTTTTTTGAATAAGTTTATTGCGCCGAGAAATCAGATTTCGAGTAAGAAGAATTAAACAGAAATCAAAATATGCTCAAGAGTGAGTGAGAATATGCAATAGTATTTGATTATTTTCTAATCATTTTATGTTTTATTTTTCCTTGTTATAAAAGCTTCAAAAAATACCATGTATCCTTAGCTTAAATATTGCCGTTATAAAAATAATACCGTAAATTATCATCGTTAAATTTTATCAATTAAAGTCTGTACATGCTCTTTAAATTTAGCCATTTAGTTCTAGAGAATTATTGGCATGAGTACAAAGAATCTTCCTAATGGATGCAATATTATCAGCAAACAAATCTTTGATAAAGTGGAGGAGAAGCAGCTATTTTGGATGCGCTCTCTTATTATTGGGTTGATTAAAGATTCATTTGTTTACAAAACAGTTTTAAACCTTTATATCAAACATTCATTCATTTTAATTATTTTTGTATGGCTAATTTTAATAACAACTCTTGGAATTGTTGCATACCTTCCTGATGTTAAAGTTTTGTCCTACATCCAAATTGCACAGACGTTATTTACCTATTTTATTCCACCATTAATTTGCTTTTTTGTATCTGCTTTAGTTGGAATAGTTATGAAAAAAAAAAGGCTTCAGTACTTTTCTCATATTTGTTTTGCAACTTGTGTTATATTTGAAATGTTGTTAGAAGTACTTAATCAAATAGGAATAAATATATTTACTTATTCCCTCTTTACTCATGGCTTTTTATCAAGTATTTTTATCTCAATTGCTGGAAAAATGTGTGTTCAAAAAAAGTTACGTTTTACTTTATATATAATGGCTGGAATTATATTGCTTCGTTTCACCCTATGCAATTTTAAATGTTTTCAATACATTCCACCTGCAATTTTGTACATCTTTTTTCTAAGTGGTGAGTAACATTTATTTAACAATTTTTTAATTTATTTTATGTTTTAAATTTTTCAAAGCTTATATCTGATTATATTGCAGTACAGATGCATAGAAAATTGATGTCCATATGAACACACAAAAACTAGTTCTAAGATCTCTTTTTGACTCAGGTTTTAAAAAAAACAAAACAATTTAACTAATAAAATTAAGGAGTTTATTTCATGCAATTTGATTAACTTATAAAAGTGTGTAATAAGCCATACTGCGGAAAAAGTGGTTGTGTGTGAAATTTTTTTTTCTTGTTATCATCATGCTTATCTTTAAATTTCACTTAAGCATAGTATAATTTTTTCTTTCATTTTTATTAAAAATATAAAATGGCCTAGTAAAGTATAAACAATTTTTTTTTATTTTTTAAGCATAAGGCAAGTAACTTTATGTTTGAAATTATTGTAACTCATTAAAATTTTTTTTTTTTTGTTGTAAGTAAATTATATGCTTCATATAGTGTTATATAAATAGTTCATGTATGCAAAGTTACAGAAAAATGTTATATTAGTAAAAAAAAAAAATAATTTGTTAAATCTGATTTAAAATGCTGGCAAAAGTTAAGCATTATTAGGTTATATAGAATCAAAATTAGTTTATATCAGAGCTCTTTAAGCTATGCTGGCAATCCAAATTATGTAACAGATGGATATGTTTAAGTTGCAAAGATGAAATATAAAGCATAATAAAATGTTTAAGTTTATTTAGCAAATGTGCAATAAAAATAAATATAGCAATAAAGGAATATGCAAGTTCTTAAGAAAAAATTTTACTTTATTATAACAATTTTAATTATAAAATTGTTATAATAAACAAAATTAGATTTGTCAGATGATTGTGTCAATGTTATAAAATTTTCTTTTCTATTTTCTTTTGTATTTTTTTTTTTCTTTTCTGTAGTGCATTAAAATTGTGCATTTAGTAGTGCATTTTTCTAGTCTATTATAAGAAAATAAAAAAAACCATTTATAAATTTGAAAGATATTAGTTAATTTCAATCAGAAAATGAATAATTTAGTTATGTGGTTTGCAGTTAATTCATGGAACAAACAAACTCAGAAAATGCTTAATCCATGTGAAATTAATGTTTATTAAAACTTAATTGATAAATTCGGAACTATTAAACTACTAACATATATATATATATATATATATATATATATATATATATATATATATATATATATATATATATATAATTTTACAAAAGGTTATATATTGGTTGATTATATATTTTATTGATTTAGTTTATGTTTACAAAAGATTATATGTTAATCACAAATTGAACTTTCTTGATATAATGATAAACTCTGTTAAAAATAAATTTGATACTTTAATGTTTTATAAAAAAACATATACAGGTTTACTGACTAATTTTACCAGCTTCAATAATATTAATTATAAACAAGGACTCATTAAAACTCTGATTGACAGGGCCTTCAAAATTAATAGCAACTAGCAAAATTAATAGCTGGGTAAGTTTTCATCAAGATGTTAAAAAAGTTATAATAACTCTCCAAAAAAATGCTTTCCTCTTGAACTTAATAGATAAAACCTTAAAAAATTTACTAAACAACCTCATCTTTCCTAAAGAAAACATGTAATCTTTAAAACCATCTGCTATACACTACTTCAAACTTTGTTATATTCAACATCAAAATACACTTCAACATCAATTAAATAAATATATTAAAAAATATTGTAAAGATAGCATAAAAGCAAGACTTGTTCTCATACCTTTTAAAATAAGTAGTATACTTTTATCAAAAGACCCCTTACCCCCAAATTTCAAATTCTTTGTTGTTTATAAATTTGTATGTTCCAGCTGTAATGCTGGATATATTGGTGAAACTACCCAACACTACACAACAAGGATTTCAGAACATTTAAACTCAGATAAGGCTTCCCATATTTACAAACATCTTACTTTATTACAAAAATGCAAAATTCAACAGATCTTGATTTCTTTTCCATTATTGAAAGAGCTTCCTCTAAGTATGAGCTCAAAATTAAGGAAGGTGTCCATATTGGACACCTTCCTTAATTTTGGAAATGGAAAAACTTTTAATAATACACAATTAAAATCATACATTATTACTATTGTTATAATATAATTTCTCAATTATATTTTATTTTCTATTTTGTTTTTTATTTTTAATTACTTCACACCTTTGATATAATCTTTTGTAAAATTTCTTGGTAATTATTTATTTTATGAATAATGTAATGTAACTATGGTAACTGTTGTAAAGAGTGTTAAAATTTTAAATGTAGCCAAAAAAAGTGTTTATACACAGAAAATGCAACAAATTTTTTTTTATACCTGATGATGTCGATTGTTATTGATGAAACATATTGTTAAATTGTGTTAAAAAAATTGTTATTTATTTGAAAATTATTATTAAATTAGTGTCACTTAGACCATTTGGACGTATATATATATGTATATATATATATATATATATATATATATATATATATATATATATATATATATATATATATATATATATATATATATATATATATATATATATATATATATATATATGTATATATATATATATATATATATATATATATATATATATATATATATATATATGTATATATATATATATATATATATATATATATATATATATATATATATATATATATATATATATATATATATATATATATATATATATGTTCTGATTGTGATTAGGTAAGTACCATAACACCATGTGTTATTATATATTATTGTTATCAAAAAATCAGTACAATCAATGTTTAAATTATGAAGGTCACTACAGTTGAGACGGCTACTATTAGTTTAGGCTACTATTTGACAAACAAGGCCATTGGAGAGAAACAAGTTTAGAGCTGTACTATTAGGGATGTGGTGGGGATCAAACTTGAAACTTCTTATGATGCAAGCGCTATACCAACTACACTACTACCTGTAATGTGTAAATATAGTTAATGACTGTTTTAAAGCTAATGATTGATTAGCGTTACTTGTAAATAATTGTATATGTATATAGATATATTTGTATATAATATAAAGACATAATTGTGAATATAAAGAGAATTAGTTTGTATATAAATTATATTGAATTGCATTAAGATACATATGGCATTTTATGCTTAAAAATTGAAGTTCTTTCTAATGTGAAACAACAAGCTATTTTGGCTAAAATGTCTACTAAAGTTGATTTAAAGTTAATTCCAGAGTTTAGTGAAAATGATCAACAATCAGTTATAGAATGGCTGGAAAAAGTTGAACTGGTGTGCAAACTAATTGGTGTAACCGATCTGGCGAGTGTTGTTCCCCTTTATCTCACAAATTGAAGTATATCAACAGTTAGCAGAAACCGATAAAGAAGACTTTGACCAGATAAAAGAGGTGTTGCTAAAAGCATTTGCCGTAGATGCATTTAAAGCTTATGAACAGTTCATTATGAGAAATTTAAAGCATGGAGAGGCAGTTGTTGTTTATTTGGTGGAACTGCAAAGATTATCTATACTAATTGGTGGGCTACCAGACAGAACAATTACATGTGTCTTTGTTTCTGGGCTACCTGAGGAAGTTTGACGAATGCTGAGATCAAGTTCTAGTATGAATGATCTTACTACTGTACAAATACTTGCACGTACATGAGCACTCATGATTGAAAAACGGAACGATGGAATGAATGAAAATTTTGCTGCTGCTGCTGCAACAAGAAGAGGTGCTGAGCCAAGGTCGCTTGAAGATCCAACACAACTAGTTTGCTATAAATGTAAACTGCCCAATCATTTTGCAAGAGATTGTCATCTGTGAAGAAATAGTTATCGAAACAAGTTGGGTCGAAGATGGGAGACAAGTGATGTTTTGTGTTACTTGTGTCAAGAGAGAGGACACATATCAAGATTGTGTCCAAAAAATGTACCGAGAGAGAAGATGTTTGCACCAGCTCTCTCCCTAAACAATCAATAATGGCATTACCTACTATACGCTTAGACGTTAATGGGGTTCTTCACAATGTGTTGATTGACTAAGGCTGTACCTGCTGCATCATTTATAAAAAATGTGCACCAAAAATTACGTAAAAAGTAATTAGTGTGGTAACTGTAAATGGACAACAACAACAGTGTGAAGACGTTAGCCAAACTCAAATTGTCACACAAATTGGAAATGATGTTTTTGTAGAAGCACTTGTAGTTGACTTTAAACCACTTGGTTATTGTTTTTTGATGGGTATAGATGGAATAGTGACTTTTGGTGGAATATCAGTATCTGCAAATTGTGATGTTTGTTTTATGGAAAGAAACAAATCATGTTTACTTTGACTAAGAAGTGATATGCCAAAAGATGTCAATAATATGAATGTAAAAGCTCAGGCTTTAACAGCTTCTTTGGAGAAACAAAATAGAGAATGGATAATTGCTTGGAAATGGAATAATAATTCTCAACCTGAAACTCTAGTGAGTAAGATTGCTGAATACAATCCCTGTTGGCATAAAACATGATTACGAAAAAGAAATCGAAGGGTAAATAGAGAATAAATGGCTGCAAAAGTACTGCTCAAAGAAACACAGTCCAATAAAGAGTTTGGTTCCTCTCATGGCAGTGGTGCAGCAAAATAAAGGAAAAGTATGACCAGTAATAGACTTCAGGGAGCTGAACACATTTATTGAAGCATTCACTATGAACACGGATGCGTGTGCTGACAAACTTCGAGACTGGAGACGGTTTGGAGAAATGTTTAAATAATTGATTTATCTTCAGCTTACATGTAACTAAAAATTGATGAGAAACTTTGGATTTACCAAACTGTTGTGTTCCATGAACAAAGATTTTGTTTAACTCATTTGGGATTTGGCCAGTCATAATGAAGGCGGTGTTGGGCTAATTGCAAGATAAAACATTCTGGAAAGGAATGGGTCTTAACTGGAAAATGAAAATTTTGCATATCTGCACTGATTCAAAAGCGGTATTCTATT